ACGTCATCTCGTAGAAGCCGCTCTTTATGTGAGCAATGTAGGTTGAATCCTAGCTAGTTCGGCTAGAAACAACCATTTGAAACTGATACACGGAACGATAACACCGCTATTCCTAAGGGTCGGTGAAATAATGAAGGGAAACAGTCATAAAACTAGGCGGTTTCTGCTTTTCGTCACGTATGAACGTTACGAAGTATTTTTGTGTTATTTAAAGCCGAAGTTTCCTCCGTAGAGGAAGCCAAGTTTATTCGGTGATACTTTTTTTACGATCATGATTATTTTCTGTTTTACATATATAATCTGCGATTATAAAATAAACACAATGAAAAGACAGATCTAAACTTTGAATTTTTTATCGCATGTATTATACTTCCTTTGCGTACTTTGCAGTATAAATTTACGTTTATCTCTTTGAAGGTTTGAAAAATTTAGGATTAATTTGCACACGGTGAAAACTAGCAACTGCGGCCACGAGTTCGCGTACAGATAGGGCGAAACGCAGGAATGGCCGATGACCCCGTCTGGCCGGATCCTTTCGCCCACGCATTGTGGTCCTTGCTAAGAGCAAAAAAAAAGCGCGAAGAGAGAGCCGCGCGATGCACTGGTAACGCACGAATCACGAATTCATGCCGATTACCTGCGAGAAATGTTTAACCTCTTCGCGTTTCCAACAGACCGTCAATCATATGCTTTTATGTATTTAAAAATATGTGAATAATCATTCCATTTTGCCGGAAGAACAGAGATAATAGAGATTTACACAACAATAAATATGCCTTGAAGTAGTTACAAAAATGAGCTGAAATGGAAAAAGTGCTCGTTTTAACAATGTCATTTTCAATGATGAACAAATTAGTAGCGGCGAATGGCGATCAAGTGCCGACGATGTTCGAGTAAAGGGATCGAGCGTCATCATTCACACCGATAAACACACCGTGCGCGTATCAACGGCACATATTAAGACGAGATAAGCCGCAAACCCGTTTTGTTCCGCTGTTTACGGCACGAAATCGGCGCGGGGTGTCAGCTGGAAAAATAAGAGACACGCGTCGGACGCGGATTACGGTCGACGAACTGGCGACGCTGCAACTTTGTCGTCTTCATCGTATGCTCGATCGCGGTGTAGATCGGTCGATGCACATGGAATATTTAGTAAAACTCTCATCAGTCCGATAATAGCCAGGAATTATTTGACATATGCGTATCGAAATCTCGGTATTAAATTTCATAATTTTATACGGCTATGAAAAGACGGCTGTGCTATTTCCTCAAGAAACTAATTCGCGCTACAAGGTTCAATGCTGATCACTGTGAAATTATTGCAATGAGCGTTCGAGATTTTTTCCAAAGATTTCACCCAAGAAAAGACTGGCTCTAAATTCTCCAAACAATCTCTCGTTAAAATTCAAGCTTCAATATCTCTCTGAGATCTCTCTGAGATTTCTCTTCTCTTCAATATCTCTCTTGTAGATTCAATTTACAAATACGACTAACGCACGAAGGAGCGTAAACGCGTTTACACGTTACTCACCGCTAAACTCTTCGAATTATTTTCCGCACGCATCACGCACGCGGACCGGTTTATCGCGCAGATCCAGGCGTGCATTGGACGGTTTATTAAAACCTCGCCTCGAGCACCGCATCCCAAATATCTTGTTATCTATTCTTACGCGGCGCCCGCGTGCGCGCGTATCAATGCGGCACCGCGCATCGAATATTTATGCGTGGGAGGAAGCATAAATCGCTTGCTTCGCTCCACGCTCGATTCCGCCCGTCTCAACTTTGTGCGTTTCAATACCAGCGACACCGCGATTCACAACACGAACATGGCCCCGTTCAATCGTACGACAACGCCAGTGAACCCGGGAGGTTATTGAGACCGAAATAACTGCCGCGATATAACGGTCACGGCCAGTAATTAAATTTGAGTACTTACGGATGCACGCACGCTCGCGTTCAAATACATTTCATCCCAAGTGCATCGGTTGCGCACGCGAGCGCATTCGATCACGAGAAGGTAAATGCGGCCAACGACAACGTGTACAGATAATGCTACCAGTTTGCCAAAAAAAAAAAAAGAGCGATATGCAGATAACTGTTAACTTGCGATCAATCTTTAAAAGCGGAAACCTGTGGTAGAATAAATCGAAATAATGTTTTTTTCTGAAATAGCTACATTCAGAAATTGTTCATTGTCAAAATTTAGCGCGATTGTTTTCGACGTATTAACGTGCAATAATTAATAAAAGAAAATGAACGCTAGAAAGGCTCCAGGTTTCCATTTATTTGCGATAAAAAAATGCTTTTCATCTCGCGCGCTGGAGCATTACGTAAAATGTAACTCGTGGCTACATCTTAGTACATATATCCGAATGCATCTCCGCTCGCTCGTCTGTGGATCAGCAGAAATATCTAGATCGTCGCGTCCATCGATCACTTTTGTCACGGACCGCGTGAGTTTATTTTCAGAGCGAGAGGTGGCGAGAGAAGGGACGATCGTTAACGGCGCGCGGGGCGTACCTCGCTTTTTATTTTATCTTTTATTTTTTTTTTCTTTCCTTTTCTTATCGAGTCCGTGAGACCACCTGTCGCTTTACGCCGGCAATTATGTTCTCGCGATTGCGAGAGAGCACGAGCTTTAATCGGATCTCGCGCGATTTGTCGCGAAAGTTCGTCGCGGACGCGAGTTCCCAGGCCGCGCGTTGGCCACCGCGCGGCTTCTACGACGATGTAAAAGAAACGTAATCGCCCAGGCCAACGGACAACCGTGGCCTCGACTTCAGGGTCGTTTCGACTATTATCCCGCAGCGGTCGAGGATGCAGCAGAAACGCATCGCTCGGAGGCCGCGCGCGATGCCTCCTCTCGAAACTGATTACGATATTCACGATACTCTTTGATATCTTCTTTAGTATTCCGACACTTTAGTAATCAACATTTCATATTGTTGATTGTATAAAATTAACTGATTAATTGATAAAATTGTGTAATATCCTATACAACTTTATAATATATAATGATTATTTGAGTTAATTTTTATTAGGTATTTTTTAACTGCGCAATGGTTTAAGAAAAAATGAATGATATGAAATGTAAAATCCATAAACTTGAACATTTAGTTTTACGAATTACGTTCATCATCTTCATGCTTAAAATATCTGCTTCAAATTTTTCTGGTTTGTTTAAAAATTTCTATTTTTTACTCTATTAACTATATCTCTTATTCTATCATTGAGACGAGCGATTCAAAATTATGGGAGTAAAAATGTTGAATCATACTGCGGGTAACGAAAGAGCAGATAAATTGTCCGATAAATTAACATGGAGGAACAGCTCGAAGGGACCATTCACTGCTTCATTACGCCGCGTTCTCTCTTTGGGCCAATGTCCCGGAGCGAGCGTTCGGTCGCGGGAGTCTGACGATTCGGAGATTCGAGCGGAAGGCGGCCGACAACTGGGAATAAAGAAAAATGTTGTAGACGTTCTAGATTCCACCAACGAGTAACGACCCCGACGAGCGCGGCTCGCATCCCGTGACGGTATTAACCTCGCCGCGGGCACGTGTTCCGAAGATCGAGTCCTCTTTTATTACTTATTAGCGACACCCAAAGCGCATGCTGAGTCCTCTCTCGCACCATGCGCGCGCGGCGATGCGATTTTAATGATGCGTTTCAAGGTCCCAGGGTCTCTGCCACGGATAAGCTACAGTGCCGTTGCCACCTGATCCCGATGACAGCTGGTCTAGCTGGAAGCTTCGATATCATCTCTCGCGTTTATGTCTTTATAACCGAAGAACGTTCGCTTCGATCAAAACGTGTCGATTTTCTGAGATTTGTACACGAAATGTTAGAGCATATTACGCTGTCTATCTGTAGATTTTTTTTCACTAATTTAGAGTTATTTCCCCTTAATGCTTTTACTATTTTAAGTCTTAAAAAAAAGTATCTACAGAAGTGGAAAATTGTATTTTTTGTGCGATTTGTATTTCATAGAAAGCGCGAATTATCTCTAAGATTTATTCTTGAGAGAATATGATGGAAATTTTGCAATTATATTGCAAAAAAATAGAATCTGAGTAAAAAATAAGTGTGAATCTGCTACGTCGCAATTTGCATCGCAATGCAATTTCGAGGACTTTGATGCCGTGCTAATATCTTGTCGAGAATGTATGAGATCGAGAAATGAAGGGAACCTGACACCATCGAGAGGTCAAGATGTCTCATGTCGACGAAACGACAATTTGCAAGGTCCGCGAGTTGCGCTCGTAGACGGCGATACGAGCAAAGAGACCTTCGCGCAATGGTCAGGGCCACGGGGTTCTTGCGCCGAGAGCGTTAATCTCGCGAACGCGCTACGTGATCGCGCAAACTGCATACGCATATGCCTACAAACATCGTACCTTCACATACACACACGAGCCTCGGACTTCTTGCGTACAATGTAGTCGTACAATCACCGCGTAATTCTATCGAAAATTCCGAAAAATCAATCATAAAATCAATGGAAAGAAATAATACTGCGAAAAAATTCTAAAATACCTAATTTCAATAATAACGATACTTTAACTAAATTGGAGTCCATTTTTTAAATTAATTGAAGGTATTATCTAAAGTAATGAGATGTAATCAAATAAGAAAAATTGTATATTGTCTTGTGAATACTAAGTAGGTTTTCCGAAAGCCAAGTTTTAATTATCAAGATGTTTATAGTTAAATTTAAAAAAATTGCAACAAAGTATGAACTTTCTCAAAATTAAAAAAAAAAACCCAATTGTATTTATTAAAGTATTTATCATTAATGTTTAAAACAAATTGAGTTTAGAATATAAATTATTATCAGATACGAATATTAATATTTTTGTTTGCTATAACATTTTGAAACATTTTATTTTTAGTGGATTAATCTCGTGAAAATTGTTTTTAAAAATTCGCTTATTTCTCTTTCCTTCAAAAGATGTTTATAATTTTGCAGGGATCTCAAAATGGAGAACATCGTGCTGCAAGACAAGCGCAAAGAACAGATCAAGATAGTGGGTAAGAAGTGAATGTACATGTACATACACGGACATCGACATGTCGCGAGATAAAAAATGTTATGATCGCCGGCGATTGTAACAATCACCATCAATTGAACTACATATATCGACATATACTTCGCAAAAATGGCAACAATAATGTTTCCATTCACATAATGCTCGATTTTCAAACTGCTGTTGAAAGCAGAATCGACTTATCCGAATTGACAAATATTCGTACACAAAATTACACTTACAATAAAATTTATCGCAATTTATACAATATATCCATGCAAATATATGGGCAAAGCCCATTTATTCTTAATAACTTTCGACTGCTATAGCAAATTTGATCCCAGATATTTTACAAATAAAGTACCAAATATTTTATATGTGATTACTGATTACAATAATTTTATATATATTTTCTACTCGTCAAAACAAATGAAATAGCATTACATTCTAATTTGTTATCATATTTTATGTAACATTGATGTATTAGAGTTAAATTAAACTTGATATATTAGCTACGTGATCTTTAATTTTAATAGCAGTGGAAGGTTAAGAAATTTTTAAAAAACACTCACCGATACGATGTCTTCCACTATCGTAGATTTCGGCCTCAGCAATATTTACACCAGCAACGATCCTCTGCGAACGCACTGCGGATCTCCAGAGTATGCAGCCCCGGAGCTCTTCGTCGTAGGCAAACAATACGGACCAGAAGTAGATTTGTGGAGCCTGTAAGCAGATACATATATCCCGAATTAATTTTTTGTAAATAATCACATATTGTATGTTAGAAAATGTGGATCTATTTCATATTTTACTATATCAATATTATCGCACAGTATATATTAAAAATACTTTTCGCTAAAATACGTAATGCTTAAATATGCAACAATATGGTATTTATGCAGAGGAGTCGTTTTATACGGAATGACCGTCGGTCGACTTCCATTTCTGTGTCCACGCAACGAATGGACCTCTTCGGAGGAACGTCGACGAAAACTGATGATTCAAATCAATAGAGGGTTGACGTCGATCCAAGAAAAAGCTATGTGTCAAACGTCGAGCGAGTGCAAAAATTTAATAAACCGTTTGCTCGTTCCATCGGCTCGCGACAGGATTACTATTCAAGAGATCCTTGATCATCCGTTTCTTGCGTCGAAAAATAATCTTCATCTATGCTCCGAAGACGATTTAAACGTTTCCAATCGCCTTGCGGTAATACATACAAAATATTTTAATATTTTCAATCTTAACTGCGGAATTCGACAAAAAAACGTATAAAAAATAGGATGTACTTTATACAATTTTGTTATATATCATGCAATCTTAATTTTATAATGAACTGTATGAATTGCACGTGATATCGAAATTTTCAATTTTATCATCGCATATTTTACAATTTTTTGATTGGTCTTAAAATATGTGTAAATCACTAACGCCATATAAAATACTGTGATAATGTATCATTAATTATTGTAGATAGTAAACGAAATCGCAAAGACAATGCAAACAACAGCGAGTGTTATTGAAGTCAAATTAATAAAACAAAAGTATGGAGAAATCGGTGGCATGTATAATATCAAGTGAGAAAAATGTTAAATGACACAAAAATATTGCTATATATAATAACTAAATATATTGAAATAACTTTTTATTCTTAACAGAGCGCATAAATTACACCAAACAATTGCTACTCAACAATTAACACCGCAACTTCTTCGAAATTCCGACACATGCAAAACTGAAAATGTACTATTATCAACAATGACTGTTAGGTAATAATTAAAAAATGTAAAGCATAATTTAAATAAATATGTAACATACTCAAAGAAAATCTCTGGAAAGTATCTACAGTATCAATATTTTTCACAAATAAAAATACAATTCAGTGGAATATTACAAAGAAAAATTTTAAATTAATTAAATTTTAGTTTTGAATTATTTGTAACATATTTATTTAATTAATTATTCAATATATTTCATGATTGCATGCATGTATTGCCAACAAAGTAAAAATAATTTTTTTTGCATATAAAAAAAGTATTTTTTGTTGACTACGAATAAAATCTATGTATAAAATTATATAATTATATTCAGAAATTCTTATTATATTTATACAGAACGGCAAAAGATAATTTTCCGGACGATGTATCCAGAAACTCGAATAATACTAATTGCATAATCGTCATGCGAAATGGCCAGATGCAAGATCAATTGATCAAGAAATCCTCGTTACATAATTCCACGATATGGAATACGCGATGCCACTCCGGAAACGGAAATTATTCTTCCAAAGAATGGAGAAATTCCGTACAAATTTTGACTTTTCTTTACTCCATCATTCTGATGCAAATGCTTATAATTATAATGATAGGACGCGACGTTCTATAATTATTATTGATTTCTTGTTTTTTCAGAAAATTTGTTATGATACATCTACGGTGAACACGTCCTTATTGCCTCAGCAATGTCGCGTGCCGCAAATTATAAGAAATAAGAGCGCTAAGATTTCTGAACAACGATTATGCAGGTAGAGTATGCTTTTGAAAAAAACAAAAGAATCAGAATTATATTATTTTTGTACATATAATAAACAAATTTGTTACAATAAAATTGTTACATTGATCATAAACAGAGATGAAATGCATCAATCAAAATATTCTACATCTCATTCCAATCTCAAGAGAATGGAAAAAAACAGTACATTTTCTAGAAATTGTAAAGCGGACCACAAAATGATTTCTAGCGCTTCAATCTTGCAAACTTATTCGCGTGATAGCAGAAGCATACCTACTTCACAAATTAAGGTAATATTTCAAATTTTCCAATAAAAACGTATCACTTAAAATATATGTAATTGTTATTAATGAAATACATTTAGCTCAACCAATGCCCCAGTTTTTAATATTTACGTAATTTTTCAGGACAGTTTTTATAAAAAAATACTTACACCACCGTGGCAGTGTCGAACTGGAAGTGCAAGACTTAAAAAAAATGCGTAAAATTTCTAGAATTATTAGATAATATCGTTAAATCACTCATATGTACTATCAATTCAAGCTATTCCAAATTTGAGGCAAATTACTTTTATTGAAAATTTTTCTGTATTATTTTTTGCATACGTAGTAATAGACGTACGTCTGTGCATATAAATTGACATATATATATAAATGCAGTGTTATTAATATATATAATTAAAATATTAGATAACCTCTTTATACGATTATTACCCAATATAACCGGAATTATATATATGTAGACCAGCAGATAGTAAACATATTGATACATACAGTAATCAAATGCTGATAATTAATATCAGAAATATATTTATTTAATGTTCCGTTGCGGAATGATGCTGCATTTTCCGATGTCGATCGACCATTTTGAGTAGATACTTGCAACAATTTCTGCCGAACTAACTACCGTCTAATTCGTTCGCGAATATGATATACAATGCGCCCGCACAGCGCACTTTTATGCCCAAATTGAAACACAATCATGATTGCATGTAGATATACAATCGTATAATTAGAAAATTTGTGAAATATTTGGAATTTAACAAGTCTAATACTTACATTCGGACGGAAGAAGATCCGAGACGGAGAAAAGGCGCAAAATGAACTTGATCGTACTTCACACTGAAAAAGCGGAAAAGATGGACTACAGGAGTCATTGAACAACCAAACCACCTAATTAATAAATAAATAAAAATTATCAGTATAAATATTAATTAAATTTAATTGTTAATACTGCAATATATTTTTTGTCAAAGTTTTGTTAAAATTTACAATACATTAAAAAGGAACGAAAAAATCGCGAAACAACGGAATGAGAGAACAGAAAGCGCGCGTAATATGAATGAACAAGTTTTCAGTTAGAGAGGCGCGCAAGTCGCCTCGACTGTCTCGACCAATCAGAATGAACCACATGGATGCACAAATCGACTCACGTCGTCGGCAGACGGTGCAGCACTTCGCGTCACATGAACGTGCATGAACGACACGATTGACAAGTATGTCACGATTTGTTGTCAGAAATAAATCCATCGATAATTGCCACGAAAGAGGATGTTATCGGCGTGCCTCTATGAGTATTGTGCAAAAACCACTCACGTGAATACCAAGCGCAAAGATGCCGTGAACGGTATGATACCGAACCATCTTGTCGTCTTCCTTGTCTTCGTTTCCGGAATTGCAGTTGCTGTCATTGGCACATTATTGTCACAATACGTACACGGATTATTCACAGCTTTCACAGGTGGGCAAAAGTTCATTGACACTAGCTGCTTCAATCTAATCACACATTACAATACATATGAAATTATCATATCTAGCGCTACTTATAATTGACAATTTGAGTATAACAGCTAATAATTTCTTTCTATTATTATGTTTTCCAGGACAAACATTTAGTCATGTGTTTGTACCTCTTCCTCCTGAAGGTATTTTAAATATCTATGATGACAACATGCTCTACGATGTATTGGACACCACTGAACTCGATAAAGTACAAGTCCATAATACTGCAGCTTCGACAGCAGAGGCCCTGACATCCTTGCATTTAGCATTGGAGATGAAATTATCTGGAAAACAAAAAAAAGCTATAAAATTGTTCCAACATGCAGTGGCGTTAGCACCATGTCATCCAGATGTTTTGAATCATTATGGAGAGTTTTTAGAGTACACTCAAAATAATATCATCAAAGCCAATGAGTTTTATGTACGTGCATTAACTTATGAACCAAATCATGAAGGTGCTTTAATAAACAGTCAAAGAACAGCTCGGGTAGTTGAAGAACTTGACAGAAGTGTGCTTAGAGGCATTGACAAGAAAAGAAATATTCTGTCTGCAATACCCGATAACAATGCTGCATTAATACGCGCTAAGAAAGAGGCTTACTTTCAACATATTTATCACACAGTTGGGATTGAAGGGAATACTATGAATCTGGCACAGACCAGAGCTATAGTAGAAACACGTACTGCAGTTGCAGGAAAAAGTATTGACGAGCACAATGAAATCCTCGGATTAGATGCTGCCATGAAATATATCAATGCGACCTTGGTCAATAGGTAATTTTCTATAATATACAGTAGTTTTATAAGCCAATAAAAATATCACTATTCTAATTATTTGTATAATTATACTTTTAGAGTAGGTTCCATTTCTATAAAAGATATACTGGAGATACATAGACGTGTACTAGGACATGTTGATCCTGTTGAAGGTGGTCAATTTCGAAGGACTCAAGTATATGTCGGTGGCCATATACCTCCAGGACCAGATGATATACATTATTTGATAGAGGAGTTTGTATTATGGTTAAATAGTGAACGAGCTATCAGGATGCATCCAGTGAGGTAGTACATTTTTTTTTCACGAACTTATGTTTTTCTTATATTTAATTGAGAGATATTTTAAAGGGGAGAGTTTTCTTTACAGATATGCAGCTCTAGCACATTATAAATTAGTACATATACATCCATTTGCCGATGGAAATGGCAGAACATCTCGTTTGCTTATGAACATGATTCTTATGCAAGCTGGATACCCACCTGTTATTATTCACAAACGACTTCGGCATGAATATTATGAGAACTTGCAAATGGCGAACGCCGGAGATGTGAGACCATTTGTTAGGTTTATAGCAAATTGCACGGAGAAAACGTTGGATTTGTTCTTGTGGGCGACTAATGAGTATTCTCGACAAGTCCCAGCTCTGAGTCAAGAATCTCTGTTTACAGAAAAGCACAATACTATTATCTTAGAGGAAGACGACAGCAGCAAAGTATTGGAAGATGATTAAAAAGTAATATTAGTTAAGATTTGAAGTATTTTTGAGACCAAAGAACATTAATGTTATATTCAATATTACTATTTATTGTTAATCATAATTTTTAAGTGAAAGTAAGCTTAAAAACGTACATGACTCAAAACTGGAGATGCAAAACAATCAGAATAACAGAAACAAAAGCTTTCCACAACATTATTACAGAGTCCAAGCATATCTACTTCATGTACTTACATTGATGTGATTTATGTAAATGTATTGTTACTATTTAAATGCTGCCAATTAATTTTATTGTGTGTACATGTAAATACGAATCTTCCATCGTTCTGTACAAAATAAATTAATTTATAATTAATTTATGTTCATGATATGTGTATAACACTAATGAGCAAGTTACGAACTTACATCTATTTGCCTTGATTTCAAACAAAAACAATCCGGTATTCATTACAGCGAGATAATGCACAATACATTTTTAAATTAAAATCATGACGCTGATACTTACGAATTAATTACCGTGTAACCTACATTTCCATCGTGTTTAAAGGAACCAATGAGAAATGCTCAATTTGAAACGCCATATTGTTTCATACTGGACATTTTATTGGCCAAAATTCTTACGCATTTATGTGCAGTCACTTTAATTTACTGTGGTAAAAATTCATATAGACTTGTTGTCGCTGCATGCAATGAACCGACCTTTCAAATCTGTGAACACATTAGTACACGATTGGTCAGTGATTCTGCCACGGAATAAACATGGCATCCTAAATGCATGGCGACTTCTAATGACTTACGCGTTGCAAACGGTATAGTAAGCGTTCGCGATTGCATCGCTCGGTGTAATCCACCGAGTAAACATTCGCCGTGTCGCCGCACGCAAGTGGGATGTGTACGCGCTAAATATCACTGAATATCGGCGTTCGCGGTACTGACGAATCGGTCACGCGTTCGTGAAGTATAACGAAGCATTGCGTAAACTTTGGAGTGTCGAAATACGGTCAAATCGCTCGCTGGAAGTTCGTCGTCTTTTTTCCGTTGACGTTGCGTCGACGATTGTCGGTTGGCGCTCGAACGAAAGAATGCTAGCGGGGCAAGAGATCGCGAGCATAGCAACATAAGACGGCATAGCGCACGAAATTAATTTGTTACCGATTATCATCGTGCGTTCGCGGAATTGCCATCCGACACCCCGCGCGGCCGACCAGTAGTCGAACAACGCAATCGATAACCCCGCGGACGCTTTTTGCGCTGAGCGAGAGATCGTAATGGCGAGAGCGTGGCGTCCGAGGGCGATAGGCGGCAGGAGTGGGAGGCTGTGGTAAAAACAATGCTGAATCGCCAGGGAGTCGCGCGTAAGTGAACGAATATCCAAATGAAAGCGCGTATCACACGCGTGGTGGTTTTGCGTGCCGACTCGAGGCAGGGTGTAGTCTGTGTGTGCTTCCGGTCAGTTTTTTTTACCGCGGCAGTTTGCCGCTCGACAATTTCTTCGATGAGAGCGCTCGTTCTCGTAGCATAATTAACCTCCTTGCACACATTTGTATGTAATAATATTGTCGGGCTCCTTTATTTATATTGCACTAAAATTTATTTTATATACTTTATACACTACTGCAAATATGAATTACCTAATAAAATGTGCTAGTAGATGAATTTAACTAAATATTTAGGTTTTAATTTAAAAGTAACGCAACGTCAGTTTTGCATATTTAATTAAGATGATAGATTACATTAGTTAATTTTATTAAAATTTATATTAATTTACAATTAAACTTCTACAAAATGTTTGCAAAATAAATGACTCCTACATTCTAAAGATTTCGCGCGGTTTTTCTTCGGAAAAACATTTGCTGTTTTTACTTTAAAAAACATTCTAATATTTATGGGATTTTGTTCTTTGTCAGAGAATTGACGTAGCAGTGGGAGGAGACATGCCTAAACTCGCATATTCCTATAAAAATAGCATCACAAAAATTCGGATTGGCGACCGACGATACGCCTATATTCGCGTTTTGTCACAACAGTACTGTTGCTACAGCAAAGAATGCCTAAAAACTTCTTATGTTTCCTGAAAATATCTTGAAATAGAATTTAAATTCTAGAACACTGTATAAATTAATAATATTTCATAGGAAAATAATTTTTTAATTTGAAATTGAATGCAATATTTTAAGTTATTTTTATGTTCATTTTGAAATGCATTTTATTAGAATTTGAAATTTAAAGCTCAATACACAAAAATATTTAATTTTTTAGAGAATTTGGAAAAAATTTAATACAGAAATTTGGAAAGTAAATTTAAAACTAAATAAATGTCTGTCGCTTGAAATGTTATTCTATCTATAATTTTTTAAAGCTAAATAAATTTTTCTATGTCTTTAAATTTCATTAAAAGATCAGATGGATCATTACCTGATTTCAGATTGCTGATGAAGAAGATTCCTTGTAAATGTGAGAAGAATATTATGTATAACTATCAATTTTAATTAACGCATCAGCCTTCAATTATGGATGATGAGGAAGGAACTTCAAGCTCTGGCCCAATGTCTTCGTTAAATAGTTTATTTTCATTTACCAGTCCTGCTGTAAAAAAATTACTCGGTTGGAAGCAAGGAGACGAGGAGGAAAAATGGGCAGAGAAAGCAGTGGATTCATTGGTCAAAAAATTGAAGAAACGTAAAGGCGCGATTGAAGAACTAGAACGAGCACTGAGCTGCCCAGGCACACCGAGTAAATGCGTGACTATTCCAAGAAGTTTAGACGGCAGATTGCAAGTTTCACATCGCAAGGGCCTGCCACATGTGATATATTGCAGAGTTTGGCGATGGCCGGATCTGCAGTCACACCACGAGCTGAAACCACTGGAACTGTGTCAGTATCCGTTCTCAGCCAAGCAAAAAGAAGTCTGCATCAACCCTTATCACTACAAAAGGGTAGAGAGCCCAGTGCTGCCACCAGTATTGGTTCCTAGACATTCGGAGTATGCTCCCGGTCACTCGCTGTTGCCGTTTCAACAATTGGCTGACCCAAGCATGCCGCACAATGTATCCTATTCGTCGAGTGGCTTCAGCACCAGTTCCACAGGTGGTGTTAATCCGACATCGCCCATGTCCTCCGTCGGTTCTGTGCCAAGTCCAGGGAGCGCGACATTACCAAACCCACAGAGCCCGTATGGTACTAACGGATTACCGGAGACTCCGCCTCCAGCGTATTCACCGCCCGAGGACGGTTCGCAAACCGGACAAACCCCCTCATCGGATTCTGTTCCAATGGATACAAGCGCGCCTATTGAATCGGCCACACCAGTATGTTACCAAGAACCACCTTACTGGGCCTCGATTGCTTATTATGAATTAAATTGCCGGGTGGGCGAGGTATTTCACTGTCAATCGCATTCTGTAATTATCGACGGTTTCACAAATCCGAGCAACAACTCCGATCGCTTTTGCCTCGGACAACTCTCTAACGTAAATCGAAATTCAACGATAGAAAATACAAGGCGGCATATAGGCAAGGGAGTGCATCTATACTACGTTGGTGGCGAAGTCTACGCCGAATGCCTGTCGGACTCAGCGATATTCGTACAATCCAGAAATTGTAATCACCATCACGGCTTTCATCCTAGCACAGTTTGTAAAATTCCACCGGGATGTTCGTTGAAGATATTCAACAATCAGGAATTTGCCCAGCTTCTCTCACAGAGCGTGAATCATGGTTTCGAAGCTGTTTATGAATTAACAAAGATGTGCACAATCAGGTAATTTAATGCACGTTATTTTTATTCAATATTTTCTATATATTAAGTTTTAATTTATATTTATATTCCTCATATTTATTTGTTGTTTATTCTTGCAGAATGTCTTTCGTCAAGGGATGGGGTGCTGAGTACCACAGGCAGGATGTTACATCGACTCCTTGTTGGATCGAAGCACACTTGCACGGACCCTTACAATGGTTAGATAAAGTGTTAACGCAAATGGGTCCGCCTCACAACGCCATAAGTTCTGTGTCATAAATAATATGCACACATTACGACGATGTTTGTAAGAAAAAAGGACAATTAATCTCAATGCACTTTTAAGCGTAGGGACATTGGCCGCAATCGGCACAAATATGAGAATTATGAAGACTGTGCAAACATGTTCAACAACACAGTTATACAGCTGTAAGTAATCCTATATTATTGTAAGTAATTCTATATACATTTTGCGATTACAACGGTTCCCCAGAGGTCACTTAAATGTTATTTTTTTTATTCGGCAATTGCCAGGTTCTTAATTATAACTAAAAGCATTAAATTACTATTAACTAGTCTTGGACATCCTCGACGTAAACATGATGCGAATGATTAAAGAAGATTTTACATGTGATTAATTAGCGATGATAAATAAGCGTTAAATTTAGTATTGAAAGCGTTTTTCTTAAATATTGTAATGTATAATGAATATTGATGTTAACTTTGAAAACCTGATATAGGTCGAAACGTTGTTATTATATGTTTGTTTAATACACAGGCACAATCATAGTATTGTCTAGCATTGGCTGCTTGTTTCTTATTAACCTTTTGATTTTAATCTTATTTGGCCTTTAAATTTAATCGTTATTTTAAATTTTGAAATAGAAAGTTACGTAGAAAAACAAGTGTATATTTAACAATAATCTCTGAGAACTATTGTAATCGCAGAATGTACACCCTTAGATGCTATAAAACTCTGGCTGTTATGTAGGGAAGGAATTATTACGTGGTATAGGTGTATAAAAAAGAAAATATTTTTCAAACCTATGCATCAGCCGTATAAAATAATATGCTATTTATGGAAAATTTACTTTCTCTGTCAAGTAGCTATAATCATTCCTTTTTCTATTATAATCACAAGAAATATTTAAGTCGTTCCATAAAGAATTTGTAATAATACCACACTGGCGAATATTTTATTATCTATATATAAAGTAATACAACACTTTATTTGATGTAAAATATAAATAAAATTTTACTTTATCGTAGAGGTGTTTAGTGTTAGTGTGGTATTACGGATATTTTATTAGATGATGTAATGATGTAATGATTTATTGTGATTACGATAGGAAATGATTTCAGATGGTTGGTAAAGTAAGTAAATTTTCCACATTATAGGGAAAGAAAAGATATTTTCTGCCTTCTCAATAAGGATAATCTAATAATTATGTCTTATTAAGTTACGTGTGTGCTTTAAAGTACGTTTACATCTATATAGATCTACTCAAATTTATTGCTAAACAATTTATGATGTAGTGCGGGCTTTTAAATGATGCAATGTATATTTCAATGTTAGACGTAGGACGCTGATCTCACGTTGACTACCAAAAGTTAACTGCGTCCGATGATGTAGGCCGCTTTCCAATTAACGACACAAATCCTGTCTTTGTTCGATATCGAATATTTAGCGGCCATAGTGAAACGTCAAATTCATTAATTCGTAGAAAGATAATCCATAGTTTGCTCCATCTTTGTGTAAGATTACATTGCCTTGTACTTTTCTCGATTATCATATTATGCATCGATTCAGCGTACGCTTTCCGTATTACAATTCCTGAAAAAAATACACGATTAGATAAGTTTTATGTGTTATATATATATATATATATATATGAAATTTTAACGATGTATATATTCTATATGAAAATTGTCATGCGTGCGTACAAGTATATATATATAATGAAGATTCATCGATTAATAAGTCTATACATTGGACATAATAAGTCTACATTGGACTAAAAGTTACGTTTACTAATTAATTGGAGTTAATACATTTTACGTTTACTACTTTTTTACTTTACAAAAAGTGCCAAAAAGAAAGGAATATTTGCATAATATGTTTAATTTATGCACTGTGATATTTTATCAGAAATATGCAATTCTTTCATTGTCTAATTACGTTCCTAAAATCTCAGATCAAGCATCTTGAAAGTACATCGATGTCTTTGAGTGTCTTAGCTGTCAAATAATAGATATTAACAGTGCCTAATTATAGACAATACCATCTTTTTTCACTGCCGTTTGCTGTCGCTTGTTTGCCGATGTGCCTAGCTGTGATTCTTGTCTATTCAATTTGGCAAATTTTGCGATTTGATAATAAACAAAAGATAGTACGAAGAGAAACAAGATATTTAACTAATTACAATTCCGTGATAAATAAAAGAAAATACTAATGAATAAGAAATATTTCACTAATTACGATTACATGATAAACAAAAGAAAGTAAGATGTTGATTGATACAAAAGAATAAGATGTTCTAATCTAGAATTGATTTGTGCTAATAGTAAGAAACGAACATCCACGACAAAACAGCTGCTGAGGATAGCATACTTTTTGGTACAAACATGAATGTCAACGAAATGTTATTTTATTCTATATTGCATAATATGGTACAATTGCGCTGATTGTACAAGCGATGGAGACAATAATCGATAATTACAGAAAAAAAATGATAAAATGTAAGATACATTCGCTCGATCTAGCTAAGAAAATTATTGTTTGATATAACGGTAATTAATTGGGTCGAATTTTGCACGAAGAAATCTATCGATGTATGTTTCGTATCAAAAGACAAAATAACTGAGTAAAGATACCGTGTTTGTGGCTTTACCTTGTTGCCGGGTGGATTTCTTTCTGCAGGATACGATCCAATTTTGCCTATTTTCTTCATGATATGTACACGAAATACAAGTCTTTTATAACAATCATGCTACATCATAATCTGCGTCGATGAATTATTGAGTGGCGAATCGGTTAGAATAGAGTTGCGAGATCTTTTCAGCACTGAATTCTGTCACGTTCAAAACAAGCACGATACATTACTGTAAAATGTACGTATATGGATAGTTTCACATATGCAAGATTATACTTACAGCTTATATTTTATGTTTTCACCGTTCTTCGTTTATTCTTTCTGCTAATTGAATCATCATGGATTATTCGCGGAGCCCGTTTAACAAAAACCATTGTGATCC